CTGGAGCATTTCTAATCTCTTCACAGGCTATCAGCAGTCTGCAGGCTAGTTTGGGAAACCCTGCCTTAGATTTGCATTGCTGGACACTTGGAGATGGACCTCACTCATAAGACATGATGCAAGTCTCTGCATCTGCGGAGTACCTGCGATGGTCAGGTACGTGAAGAATTGCTACTTTAAGAGACGAACAGACTGAGACTGCCGACATACTCGGTGAAAAAGCCAAACTCATGGCTTGGTAAGGACCAAAGATTTTGCTAAAGGACATAATACAGTTCAAATTTTAGGTTTTGTAATTTTTATTTTCCTTTGTTTTGATATGTCTCAAACAAATACTACTATCACTGTGTCTCCCTGTTGTTTAGAAACTGTGCTTTTGACTAAAGTCTCTGGGGAAATATGTGAGTTTAACAATTTCTTTTTAAGCTCTGGTTTTGGTTTGTTTCTTCCAATCATCTACAGATTTTTATTTATTTTATTTGTATTATTATATTTTATTTATATTGAACAACCACTCAGGGAATTCAGAAAGCTTCATTTGCTGTCATAAAAGCCTCTGTAAGCATTTGTTTCGAAAGAGAAATTCGCTTTTTGAAAGTTCTGAGGTAGTTGTTGGGACTCCAGACAGGAGCAGCAATAATGACTGAAGTTTTGCCCTTATGTCAATTTTGCAGATATGCACATCGGACTCTCCTGACTCCCATGTAAAATACTCAATTATCTTTAAGGGTAGAGTTTGGTCTGAGGTATGTGCAGGCTTTTTGGATCTTGTAGTGCTGTACTTCACAAAATCTGTAAAGCTATAGCATTATTAAATACAAATCATTGCTGTAATACATACCCAAGAGGAGATGATAACTCCTAAAGTGTGGTGAAGGATCAGAATTTATTTAGTGTTTTTGTTTTCAAACTTAACTTTTCATTAGTGCTAAAGGGAATTTATTGCATTAGAGACTAACTATTCTCAGAATTTCATGAAAAAATTCATGTCTTCTTTCTGTGGCATAGCAAAATTAGCTTTGGAATCCCAAAACTTTTCTCTTCAATCTTTTAACAGGAATTATCAAAGTATGCTCCTGAAAATTTGCATTATACAGAACTGCTTCTGAGGCTGAGGAGCACTGTGCCAAGTTATAGCCTGGCAGAAACTCTAGTATACAAACTGTAACACCTGAAAACAAGGAATTTATCCTGTATATGTTAACATGAGTTTAATTTATACTGCAATATAATAAAGTTAAAAAAAACCAACAAACCAAACCGAAGGATATAATAATTGAAAAATCAACTCATTTTAATCAAACAGACTTCTAGACTTGCTTGGTTATCTCACCTCTTTTAAATTTAAAATATTTGCATCAAAGCAAATGCACAAGCTGTCTATGTATACGTACAGGATCACCTGGAGGGCCTGGTAGTCCTGGCTTTCCATCTCTTCCTGGAGTGCCCTAGAAACAAATGTAAAATTTGATGGCCTTAAATCATTGACGAGGGACACATTACTTTTTGCTGTATATATAGAGAACTGCCACTTACATTAATACCAGGGGTACCTGGAGTTCCTGGTAATCCTGGGGGTCCCCTAGGGCCCTAAGAGCAGGAAAGGTAATTTAGGATTTAAGAATATTTTTCTTTTACTGTAAACTTCTTAAACTAATGTTTTTTTATATTATAGAGAAAACTTATAGCCTACCTGCACACCTGCTGATCCAGTTGGACCTATAGGACCCTGCAAGAAAACTCCAAATAATCAGTAGTTACACCTTTTGGGATAAGGGAGATGAACTTCATAAAAAATACTGAATGGGGGACATTGGTACAGTTCACATTGCAAGAAAGACTTGCTCTAAGGTTTGGCTTTAAATCCAGATCTAATTTGGCCAAAATTAGAGAATTTAAGATTTTGCTGAGGCCCATTTTTAAGGGCAAGTAATACCAAAGAATAATGATCTGTGGTGAAACTTGCTATTTAGCTAGGAGATTCATAAGAAAAGCTGATATTCAGTTGAATAAAAATAAATTAGATTATTTAAATATAAATGGGTAATTGCTTAAAATCAGATTTGAAAGTATTTTAATGGAATAAATTATTTTTAAGGATTATTATTTTAGATTAAGATCTCAGTGTGAATCTCTAGTCACCTTTCTCAAACATTTGCTCTCTGTACCTCAGTCCTGTCAATAAACTGAAATGTATCAGCTGACTATATTGGTCTGGACTGAAGAGAGATTGCCCTATTCACCACAGCAGACTTCATGTAATAACATGTACCACCTACCATCTATACCATCAATACATCAATTTTTTTACTGAATACTCTGAAGACATTGCAGATGGCTTTATTTAAAGGCAGTAGGAAGAAAGAAACCTGGGAAACAAGCTGAATAACTGAAACAGTTATTGCTATAGAAGTTATTTAGTATGAATGCTCTAGATACACTGCATCAACTTGCTTCATGTTTGAATTTAAACTGCACAGAAATGTGTGAAGCAAGCTGTGCAAAATCAGGACTTTCCTGTTTCCTGACATAGTATCTGGCACTGTGAGACTCTCATTCATACGCAGTAGACCTAAGCCTGTAATTAGCAGTCATCACAAATGCAAAAGCTAGGAGCTGATGCAAAGCCTTCCACATCTCTTCCATGTGTCTTTGCCCTTTCCAGTACCAGCAAGGATTTCAAAATGCCATCATCTACAATGTTGAGTATACCTCTTCTCTTGTACCAGTACTCAAGCTGGATTTTGCTGACGACTTCAAACAATTATTGCTTAGAAACAGACACAGTTAGTCTGAAGATGTCTCAACACCATCACTAGGAAGGTCATCTGTAAAGTAGCCCTTGACTCTTTCAGTTTTCCAAGGCTTCCATTTCTCACTTAGCACTAGATCTTTCTGGGTCTGGATAAAGCGAAAAGATGCTGAGTTGGGAGTCAAGTCAGAAGGGAGTTCATGGCATGCCTTTTCACTATGCTTTGTTTACTTGTTGCAGTTTCTCAGCGATGCACAGTGAGAAGCCCAAATTCTGGGTGTTGGTATACTTACTGGTGATCCCTGAATGCCTATTCCAGGGGGCCCCATCTCCCCAGGTGCTCCTTGTACACCAGGTAGGCCTCTTTCTCCCTGAGAAGGGTACAAGCCTTTCAGTTACACCAGGTCTGAAAATGTAAACCAGCATATTATCCTATTTTTTTTTTTAGAAACAGAAATAATATATTTTTTATACCTTTGGTCCCCGTGGACCTGGGTTTCCAGGAATACCAGTGGGGCCCTAGAAAAAAAACCCAGAAAAAAAAAAAAAAAGGTTTGAAAATCAAAGAGACTAGCTGAATTTTATTGCCAAAATTAGTCAGCAGGAGCATGTGTGAGCCTTGCACTATTTCTATACTACATTTTAGTGCACTTACAATACCACTATAACATATATTTCAATTTTGAAATTACATCAAAAAAAAAAAAACCTTGTTCTGATTTCTTTCACTGCACAATGATAATTCTTTAACAGTTGTCCCTACAAGAAATAAAGTAATAAAAGCCTTTTCAGATTATGGACTTACTGGTGTTCCAGGCAGACTTGGTCCAGGAGGTCCCACATCACCTTTTGGACCTGGATGTCCAGGCGGTCCCATAATCCCACCAGGGTCCCCCTACAAGATAAATTTGAATCACTAATTGAAATGTGAGAATTTTCTCATGAAAAAACTCTAAATATTATCAATGTTATCCTAGAAAGCACCAGTACTTTGAGAAGAAATAGAGAAGAAAAAAACCCCCATATTTTCCTTCAAAAAGTTACAGAAGAAGAGGAGGCATAAACCACACAACCACTAATAGTAACTAGCATTCTTGTTTCTTCCATGCTTGCAATGCATCTGATCCATGTTTCTTTGTCCCCAGGCCCCTAATATGCAGGTTGTCATTAAATCCTTCCAATTAATTCACAGTAACAAACTGTCTCTCGCCAGTTATCTATCCTTAGTGCTAAAACCCTAGTCTTCGCTGTATTCCTGTTTACACCTCTCTTTCTTACTTCAATGCATGCAGCGTCTCTTTCTCCACATCTCTGCAACTCCTCCTGCTTAGACAGGTGAATTTGTGCCTTTTATTACGCTGTCCTCTTGTCTCTTACGTGCTCCTGCATCATTCTCTGTGATTCTTTCTGAATCCACTACTTCCCATTTTGCAAGATGAATACATTTTTGTCATTGTTCCACGGTTATTTTCTTCTCCTGCCTTTTCATCAGCTCACTTCTTCAAACTATTAATGGATTTTATTAGCCCACAATGTATAAATACCATAACACATCACATAGCTCACAGTATGCCTGTATATCCTCTTTTCTCCCCTTCTCTACATTCAACATATACACACATACTATTTTTAACTCCTGCTAATGTAGATGATTCTAACTAAGGGATTTCTACACAGCAAAATACAATGCCATAAAAAGATCCCAGCCTATGCTCGCATCTGAGTATAGCTGCCCCAGTGCTCTGCCGAGGTGAATATGTCTGACTGTGAAGTGGGATTTTACACATTAGTCTGGTTAGGACACTACACTGAACAGGCTGTTCTGTGGTCAGGGCCTGAACTGACATTTCTGCACTGCACAGATTTGATGTAAGAGCCCAATGCAACCTCCTTGAAATATTACTGAAATTACGAATCTAAAGAGCAATTGGGGTTGCCAAATTGGCCTGCAGCATCTCTGAGGAACAGACAGGGGGCTGCTGCTTATACATTTTTAAATCAATTCATAAAGCAGCCACACAGATGCACTACAGAATGATGGAAGCTTACTTCAGAGATGACAGTCTAATATTCTCTAATATATCAAGCTTAATTAAAAACACTTAAAACATACCTTGTCTCCTTTAACTCCTGGGTTTCCTGGTACCCCGTGCTCTCCTGGTGAGCCCTGGAATTAATAAAAATATAACTGTACACTTTTATAGCTATTCCCTTAAAGATTATCTAAAATTACAGATGAAAATGAGTTTACATTGGATTATTTACTGTGCGCTAGTATTGACCCAAAATGTTAAAGAGTTAATGAATGCTTCTTTAATCAAATATATGAATAATTTTTCTTTAAGTTGAAATGTAATAATCAAGACTATTTTCTGGACCCTATCAGGGCAGAATGGCAGAGACTGACAGGTTTACTTATTCAATTTCAAAATAATTCCAAGCCTTGAAAATAATTTTTTCAAGGAAGGTGGTAGCAGGTACAAATTTGAGTTTTAAATAAGTGTCTCATCTTTATAAGAATATATGGAAGTTTAAATTTACTGATTAGGGATCAGACATCCTGTCCTACCCTACCCCTTTTTGATATCGACATAAAATATATGCAGTCTATCTTCTTTCCTAAGGATTTATCAGATTATTTTTTCTTTGGTCGGACCAAGTTTAAGGGATATCTTAGGAAAGGAAAGAAGCAAGTCTTATCTGCTGGACGACTCTTCGATGACGTAAGTGAAAGTAAAACAATTTTCAAACTTTCATAATTTTCATCATGCTGCATAAGACAAATAATTATATTTGCTAATCCATAATGTTTCATCTTTAGAAGATAAAAAAAACCAACGAGCCTGGAACTCTATACGTGTTTCCATAATATCTTTAAATATATGTTTTTATATACTAGAATTGTGTGTACAAATAGGAGTCTTCAAGATCATCTATATCTAGGATCTACATATATTATATATAGTATTTATCTGTTCATAATGTCACTTGATCAAAGATCCAGCAGAACAGCAGTTTCAAAAGCAGCAATTACGAACTCAAGTGGGATGATGGCAACACAAGCAAACCAGAAATGCCGTATTCTGTTATTTTTCACGGTAAGATTGGGGATCTATATATAAACAGAAGCACAGCAGAAAAGGCTTACAAACTATTGTTATAGAAGACAGGTAAATTAGACACAATTTAAAAAATGTGTGTCTCAACTGAGTAGGAAAATAAGGTATAAAGAAATGGCCAATGAGTAACACAGTACAAAATGACTACATGCAGATTTGAATACTAGGGTTTTTTTTTTTTTCCCTTCCGGGAGCTGAAGATGCTGTACTCCAGCTGTCACTTTGCTTATATCCCTAAGACTTTTAACAGGTCAATAATAAAAAGCCTGCCAGCTGTGTACCACTCAGAATTGTATTTTAATATTAATGAAGAATATGACTTAAAAGTGTGTTCAAATTAAGAGTTCTCTTCCACAAAGTAGTCTCAGAGCACGTGTGGAAAGGCCTAAGACAAAATGCAGCAACACCAGCTCCTAGATGCTTCTGTTTGTAGGAATTAGATAAAAGACAAAACCAACCCACAGAGCAAAGATCAAAATCCCAGTCCTTTTCAGGCGAATGGCTTAACTGCTAGGCTAAAGCCAAGCTCTTCATTACCTGCTTTTCTTTGTCCGCTTCTTGGATTTAACCACTCAACCCTCCAAAATGGTACTTAACCATTTTATGGTTTACGGAGGAAGGGAGGGAGGAGAACCAGGGAAAGGGGGTAGGTGCCACTTGTTAGGTTATTTGACACCACCATTTGTTGTGGACTGAAACCTGATTTCTGTTTACACGGGGGATTAGGCAGAACATAGCTGCCTGCACACATAAAAAAGCAATTGCACCATAATTTGGAAGGGAGACAGGCAGCCACCTCCTCAGAATAGGCTTTCTGCTGTGTTAGGGTGTCATGTCAAATGCCCAGGGAACTTTCAAGCTTAGTATAATGGTGCCTAATAGTTTAAGGTGTTTCCTAGAGTATTCAGACTGGATTGAAGTTTTGCCTGTGCTCTTCCTGCCTGGAGGCACAAGGGTTATGGGCGTGCTGGATCTCAGGCGAGGCCCCTACCAGTTTGAGGGATCCCGACCGGTCAGCAGACCCATCTGCCTGTTGCCCAGCGGCGTAACAGTTACAGACACACTAAAACCCCCATGAAGAAGGCCCCCGTCTCCTTGACAAACCCCAACCAATTGGCAGACCTGAATGTGGGGCACACAAAAGCGTAGTAACTACGGACACATTCTCTGCTGAGACCCCCCGCTGCCTCGACAATCCCAACCCATCAGTTTTGCACCCACAGGCATACACTTTATGGGCACACTGCATCTCTGGTGAGGTGTGCCATCCCCCCCACTCCTCCTGGAGGGCCTTCCTCAACCAGCCATGATCTTGAGGTTCAGTAAACCATCTGCATCTTGCTTATGACACCATCTGACAGCCTGTAGTGGATCTGGATATTGAGGTTTATTTAAGAACCATTGAGATGAGAGCTTTTACCCTTCTTGATTATCTCGCACCCTCACTTGTTCCCCTGTTACTGTTATGTTCATTGGGTCCTGACTTCCCTTTCCAGCAGGAAGATTGCTGCTCATCTGGGATGGTCGGGCAGCAAGTTGTTTTGGTCTGTGCTGTGCAGCTGCTCACAGTTACCAGTCTCAGCTGTTAGTGGCTAAGGTCCCTGGCAATTATTTCCATGCATCTCCCTGATCTCCACGACCTTCTCCCACTTCCAGGACCTTTCGTCCAGCCAAGATCTTCCCCCTTCTTTCTTGAGAGAACACCTCTTTCCTTTCAGGAATCCTTCTATTTTGGCATCTCTTCTTCTGGGTACCCTCATCCCTCAGTTCTTGCCATCTAAATAGTCTATGTGCAGAAGCACAACAGATGATCAGCCTCCAAATTGGTGAGTCTGTCTCATGTCTCTTTATTAACTGGAGACCCCAGGATGTGTCACTTTTGTTTAGTCCAGGTGCTACCAAAATTTAAAAGCAGCCCCTACTGTTCCATGTAACAAGTAGTAGGCTTCTGCTTGAGAGTTCAACAGTTCAGGTTTTGACATTCTCGCATGAACACACAAACACATATTATCTGCCACCTGTCAGTGTTCACAGATTAAGCTATTTTTCACCTATGGCAACCATATAATGGCTGTAGGTACTTTATGATTGTCAGTAAGCCTCTGCACAATTAAATTCGAATATCAATCGACAATCATAATACTCTCTCATTCTACTTTCTGCAGAAGTATTTTAGTAATTTAATCTATTGAACAGTAATACAGTAGTTAAAAAAGGAGATTTCTGTTAAATTCTTTTCAACCAATACTTCTACTCTGGCTGAAGATTTTAATATTGTCCCTAGTTATAACGAAATTATGTCTTGCTCTGAATATGAGTTTTACTCATAAATCTGACCTAAATTCTAAGATAATAAACATAATTGTTTTTTCTGTTCATCTTATTAATCTTTACCCCTTTTACAGGAAGTAAAACAATTCAGAACAATACAAAATCATAGACAGAAATAAGGAAGGCCATGTATTTAAATCCTTGGGGTACTCTTACTTTCCCTGTTTCTTCTCATTTTGCTCACAGACACTGTCTTTTCCAGCTCACAATGTAACATTATTAAAACTCTGCTAGAGATTTCCTTCATTTTCACCTCCTCCTGTGAGATGAGTGACTTTTGTAGAGCTAATTATCTGGGAATCAGACAAATTAGTATTATCATTCTTACTTGTTCAGATGGTAACACAAGGACAAAAAGAACATAAGCAAATGGCAGAACTCTGTCCTGAGGCATCCCATACTACTGTGCTTTGACACCTGATTGCTATAGTACCACCCGCAAAAAGAGCACCTACGATAACTTGTGTGGTACTGCTTCACTGGCTAACTGTTCACATACCACACTTCTACAGCTTGGTGAAACTGCACAATACATACAGCTTCTCCTGGCAGTCCCCTGGGTCCGACAGGTCCTGGAGGTCCTTGCGGTCCCTGTGAAATGATATAATACACGCTTGAAGTAAAAGTCAATACACCTGTTGTAATTCGGTGTAAAGCGTTCTCATATATAAATGGATTAAAACATCTGGCACTAAGAATTATCTTCTACATGGAGTAAGAAGTACAGAGTTTGCTCATTCTCCCTTAATCTAACATTTAGTCCAATAAATCTTTGGGACTGATATGTACAAAATCCAAAGTATGTATACAAAGCAAATACAAGTAAATACAAAGGCACTACCTAAAGGGAAAAAGAAAAAAAAAAAAAAGTAGCAAATCAAGACTTTCTCCCTCAAGGGACAGATCTAGAAGTGATTTTTTAACTATGTGGTAGGTGTTCCTTCTCTTTTTGGAACAGATCTCATCAGAAGGACTCCAGAGCACTGAAAGAAAAGGGGATTAAGATGCAGAGATAAAAGGATGACTTGGTGGAAACCCTAATGATCCTTTGGATCTCTATGAGCCTCTTCTGGAAGGTATACAGTGTGAAGGTGAGCTAGATTTCCACCGCAGTAACAATTATTTCAGTAGCTCCTACCATGGAAGGACATTAGCCTCCAATGACCAGTCTAAGGAGTTAGAGTGGAGAATCATTTTTAAGACCACAGTTTCGTGGACCCTATAGCTGCATCTATTCACCCTGGGACTTCTTTTGACAATCTAAGGAATTTGGGTACTATCATATCCAACATGAATAGTGTTGGGTGGAGGTTACATTTTCACAGTTTCCAGTTCCACCTTTATTTGATACAATTCAAGGCATCATGAGAGATTCTCAAGAACATTTGTGCTTCAGTTACTTTCTTCAAAGCAAGGCAATGACTACTTTGACATTACCTGCAGTCTCATAGGATTAAACATAGGAACCACGAATGTACTGGCAGTGGTTACTCCTTGCCTCACTGATGGATAAAGAGAATACATCCAGCTACCGGTGGATTTGTAATTGCAAAATGGGTGCTCATATTCTTGAGTGACCAAATAACATTTAAGCTTTGCATAAGTATTCCTTGCTGACTGATGATGAGATCAACAAGAATTGTATGAACTAGAAGTAAAATAGCCATGATCCACGCACAAACTTTTGATATAAACTATTTGCGCTCTCTGCCCTTTAGTACTAGCTAAAGAGCTGCTAGCATTCAGAGTCCTTTTATATAACAGCATAGAATGTAATGGCTGTTAATACCACAAAAATACCTTTCACCTACCTTTGATCCTGGATTTCCAGTAAGACCAGGTAGTCCAGGGTCTCCTGTTTCACCCTAATGATATTGTTTGAAAAAAAAAAAAAATCCAAATTTACTGTTATGTCTCCCAGTATCAGCTATGTACACCAGTGATGTATATAGTGTGTACACGTCAAAAAATACCTTATTTCCTTTTGATCCCTCCATTCCAGTTTCTCCCTAAAAATAGCAGGTACAACCACAAGAAGTTAAAACTTTAACTAAGATCAAGTAAGAGTTTAATTTGCTACCTTAAAATATTATTTGCAAACTATATTATTTTTGCAAACTTAATAAATATTGAGAAAGCATTAAAGAACTTCTGATGCCTTGTGCAAACTCTGAAAGGCATTCCTCTTTCAAACTAATTCTGTTTGCAGTTTTTCCTAGTGTTTTAAAGAAAAATTCTTTGAAAACACCATATTTGCTTAAGAGTTTCTCCAGTCTAATGCCTATTCTTCACCGCTAAATCTCTACTGGTGACACAGTATTCATCTCCGAAACCACATATTATTACAGTATGCCTTATTTTGGTTATTATAATATGTTAACCACAAGTATCTGAGAAACTCTCAATTGTGTATTAAACAACATAATTAGCTTTTCATAAGAGAGGACAATAGTTAATTAAAAATAAGCAACACATGTAAACAGACTCTTACAGAATGAATGTTCTGAAAATACCCCCCAAAATAACAAAAAAATTAGGCACACATAAAATGGCTGTAAGAGAACTGCTTGATGTTAAATGCCACACTGGAAACTGGTAAAACAACTAAAATAACACAGTTCAGCCCACATATAATTTTGTGAAATAACTGAAAGAAAGAACCTTCAGGGAACAAAAAAAGGGTGTACTTTAAGCTCAGTTCATGGACTGTATCAACTACAGAAATGCTGAAGAACAGGGCATCCCTGTTTTTCATTTATAACCTGTGTGAACTTGATGCATATGTAAGAAGGAGACAATACAAACGCTGTCCTACATAATCACTGAATCTAATGAAAGTGTATAAAGAAAAGAATTACATCATGAACACAGTATGAAAATCATATCAAACGTAAATTATTCACATCAACAGTTCAAAACATAGCTATACTTACTGGATCTCCCTTGTCCCCTTTTTCAGAAGGTTCTCCCTATGGAAACATGGCGAAGAGATTAACACAGATTTATTTCAAATGGTAAATAGTACATATGTCTGGGTTTGGTGAAGAGTCCTTGAAAAATGTTGGGGTTTTTTTAAACCTATATAAAATATATGGGCTACAAAAGTTTACTTGAAGGATGATGTTGATTTAATGACAAGACCATGACATGCATGATCCTTTCAAGCAGGAGCACAAGGAAGGGTCAGGAACATGAACTAAAAAGAGTGATCATACGTACAAATTTGACAAATTCTCAAACACAAGTGCTTTATAACACACAAAATCATGAATCTGTCATATTGACAGAGTAAAAAAAGTTTCTGCCTGCATGAAAACTGTTTCTACACAAGGATATGACAAAAAAAAACCAAAAAACAAACAACTGGAAGCCTAACAGCTGAATAGCAAAATGCCACACATTCCTACAAAAACACAACACACACCTGTTCACCAGTAACATCCTAAGCTTAAACTAAAAGATATTAAATTAGGAATTTTATTTATAAATTTTAATAATTTAAAGACTCATGTTTTTTCACATAGATATTGAAGATCACATTTGTAACTTGAAAAAGTATGAATGGTTTCTAATTCGTGGCAATCACTGGTCATAAACTTATATAAACATAATTTTAAACTGGTATTTAGTAAAAGTCTGAATGTGTTTAAAGTTAAGGACTTTGTGAGCTGTTGGAACAGGGAAATTTACTTGCATACATAAATACTCTCCCAAGGAAGGGCTTGAGTAAATTACTAAGGAAATTCAGAGAATTACAGCTTTTCCTATGCCCAAATATTATTTCTTGATCCTGAGTATATTTGCCAAGATTTGATTCATAATCAGTACATTCAGCCACCTTCTAGTATCACACATAAGCAAGGAATTAATTTACCTTTTCTCCTTTTGCACCGGTCATTCCCAATTCTCCTTTTTGACCCTTTTAATAAAATAAATTATACTTAAAACCTTTTATATTCTAACAAATGCAAATAAACTCCTCCTCTCCTTCAACTGTACTTTGTTCTGTATCGGGTACAAAACTTTAACTTTTATTGCAATGGAAATCTGAGATTTAAACACCTGCAAATTAATTTAAATGTCTGTTTTCTATAGCAGATCTGCAGGCTTCTCAATAAAAACCAGCACCCATCCTGTGACATATCCAGAGCACTTGTCTGTTTTCTTCCAAGTTTAAAAGGCATCCAATTGTTAAAAATTCATTCCACTGTTTAAACAGGAGAGATGCCTATAAACAATACACTGTCATATGGTGTGGATTCAGAATTTGGCCTCCACATAATTTTTAGAGGCTGACTATAAGTATTTTTGGTATAGCAAGTCCCACCATTACAGAGAAACTGCTTTAAATATTCATGATTTCTTTGAAAAATATTTTCTGATTTTCAACTTTTTAGAGTCTTTTCCCCTAACCAGCAAGCCAGCTCATTTGACTTCTCCTCAGACAGTGTTACAGAAAGCACACATAATTCTTCCTGCATTTTCCCTTTCTGGTTATCATATATTAGAGGAGAAAGGCTCATGTGCTGCACCTGCAGGATAGCACGATGACTTGGATATTGGACTACACAGACCAAAGAGCCAGTCATGTCTAAAATCTATTCCTTTAAAGGCCACGTGATAAATCAAATAAAAGATACTGTGTTAAGGGTGGCAGAGACAGGTTAGACAGGCACTTCGAAATTTCTCCAAATTCATCCAAAATGCTTACAACATCTCCCTTCTGGCCTTTAGGTCCAGGGGTCCCAAGTAATCCTAGTAGTGTTGTATCACTCTGGGAAGAAATATCACCACAAAGATCAGAGAACAGAACATGTCACCATCTATTTACAGTAACAATTTGTCTACCATAACAATTTCATGTAATTTACCAGTATGTAAATTCAGAAGTCCTAATTTACTGCTAGAAAGGGATACTAAATGCCTACGCAGTACATCTAAGTAATGTATTGCAGCAACACATCCTTCGTCATGCATTCATGCTCCACTCAGACTAGCAGATGAACAAAAGCAGAAAAAGGAATTGTCTATGTTGAATATTGCTATGCAAATTTGTGATTTTTTTTTTCTTAACTCAAAGAACAGAACATATTTTTATGCTCATTATTACAGTACATTTCTCAAGTATGTTACAAAAGAACAATAAAAATCACTTCTCTCCTATGACAAAAACACAAGCTTTTTACTTTTGAGCAGCATGAAATGTAAAATAGAACTAATTTAAGTCTACTACAGCAGTGAGACAGGAGGAGAGGGAATGAATGTGATCAACAGGCTCCTCATACTGCTCCTCAAAGAAAACAGACAAATTTAAGGACCAGGGGCTCATGTTGTATACTTGCTCAGGTATTATTGCACTGCATCTATTTACTCTTCTGTACAAGATAAAGACACAATGAAATACAAAGCAAAAGGCGTCCTCTTCACAAAGCCAGGCTCAGACTACCTAAGGGGAACATGTTTTCTTTTAATGACAATGCAAAAAGCAACAAAACCAATGACCCTGAAACTTGAGCTCGAGTCTGGACCCAAGGAAGTCAAGTCCTAGAACATTTGCCACTGGGCTGAACGGGAACCTGAGCAAGCCAGCTCCCCTTGCCACGTCACAGTTTCCGTAGCTCTAAAATGGGAGAACATCACGACGAATAAAAGTGCCATTTACACTCTGTTAATATTTTCAGAAGTTGCTAACTGAATATAACCTGAATAAAATGCATGATTATTTTATAAATGTTAATGTCCTGAAGGATCTTCTTCAGTGTTTAGGGCTTGTAACACTGTTACTACTCTAATTATCAAAATCAGCTCCAGAGCAAGAGGCAGATACCCAAAGAAGGGAACCTGAGTATTGCTGAGAGGTAGTTGACTACGGCTTGACTGAGAACTATCTAGGTGTCTGGTATTACGAGTATACCTTAAGTTATGATTTATTCCGAGTTGACCATTTATTTGGCATATATGGAAGAAAAAAAAGGGTGTTAGACCAAATAACTTCTTTTATGCTCTTTGCCTATTTATAGGTCATTTGCTCTTTACAACAAAATGTAAGTAAAATATGCCAAAGGAAAAAAATATTAGAAAAATAATAATGAATTATTCAAGAATAATCTATAATCATTATGAATTATATTGAATTTGAAACACTTCCTGAGTAGATTGTGATGTAGTTTCAATTGTTTTGTGTTGTTGTTTCATTTTTCATTTTTATATGTTGGAGAACATTTTAGATTAAACTGATCTGTATGCCCTATCCAAAGATGTTTAGAAGCATGTTTGACTGAAGTGACTTTATATCTATGTACAGAAAACAGGCAAGTAAAAAAGATGACAAGCAGAGGTCTTGAAAGCCCAGGCAAAGGATGGTAACAGAGGCCTCAGAGTGTACAAACATAAATAACGAAGCATCATTTACCAGTCACTGAAGGAACATAACCTACAGAGCAGGGCAGAACCAGTTTCTTGGCATAATGAAGAGAACAAAATGCATGTATCGAACACATGCAAAGCATCTCATTTGCGCTGAAAGCGCAAAAAACATAACAAGAAGGAATATAAAAATAGTCACACGCCTTGCAAGAACAGGCACAAAGAAAGAACGATGAGGGAAGAAATGCTCCAGCACTGTCTCCCACCCCATTAAGGATGAATGCTACTACTTATCCTCAGCAGGTTCCCCTCACCTTCATTTAAGAAAGACTGCTGTTCTTGGTTTGCCATTCAGAACAATTTGCTGCTGCACTCAGCAATCATATTCATACTCTTTCACTGTATACATGGATCAAGTAAATTATGCTTTTAAAGACTTGCACTCCAGCCTCCTTACATGATAAGATGGTTGATACTGAGCCAGAAAAAGCTTGGTTGCAACAAATTATATAAATACACTGAGCAATTACAACTACTCATTGATACCACACAGGAATCAGAAGAATTGCAAATCATCTGCTAAGAAACAGAGGAATTGTAGAAGACATTATTAATTATGATGGGTCTTAAGATCTTTCTCACTGATCCCCCACATTTCTTGGTAGCAGTTTCTCATGTTTCCTAGAAACACCAATGCAAAGAAGCCATACTAATATCCTCAGAAAAAAAAAAAAAAAGAAGATATTAAAATCTCTATAGCAACAAAAATGTGGTCACAATTTAAACACTTTAAAAAACCAAACTGAAAGAAGACTTTGGGAGATCCTTGAGAACATGCATAAAATGTTGGAAAATGACAAGACTGTTTCCTGTGGGTAAGGAATCTCAAAAACCTCAGAATATCACAGAAATATCATCTTACAAATGCAAATAATTGAGGCACATTGCAAATTATATACCGGAATGTGAAAGACTGCTTGGTGCCTCCAAGGTGCAGTGAACAAAATCAGCACTCATCATACTATGTAATAGTGTGGGGAAAAAAGGAAAGTCAGTGGTGCATACTTCTGTCTAAATGAATAATCAATGGCAAAGCCTTGTCTTTGATGACCTCTTGGATGTCTTTGTCTTGTCCTTGATGGGAATATGCCATTCCCATCATAAAATGCATAGAAACTAATATGTTTGCTGTAGCAGTCAGAGACTTAAGTTGACTCTAGGAAGATCTGAACACGTAGTTACAAAAAGTTCACATATTTAAAACCTGCTACTTGAATTAGAAAGCTATCTCTTCTCTCATCTGAAACCAAACAGCATTTCCTTGTTGAACAGTTAATTGCTCATGACAGAGTCATTAAAATCTCCAAACTAGACAGCTGAAGGAAGAAGAAAGTTGGTAAGCTGTACGGGATTTAAAAGATGATTAATTTATAGACACAGAGCAGCTGGTCTACATTTTTCCAGAATATTATTAATTAGGAAATATAAGACACCTTAGGAACTCTTAGAGCCTTACAATGATAAGAAACGTGATTTTTGGAGACAGATGCTTGCCAGTTCCTGAAGATCACCACTGTTTGTATTTCCTCCTGCAGAATTAACCTTAAAGGGTCTATCAGGGTAAAAGAGATTAATAGTGCAGAGGCAGGGAATGAGTTACAAGAAATATGATATTGATAGAAGAAGCAGGGCTGGTATCAGTGAAAGCTGTCTTTGGCAGGAAAAAGAAACTGGTAAGAAAATGAAAGGTATAAACCCAAAATATAGAAAACTTCAACACATGCATGTGAAATGGCAAACCAAAACCAGAAACTAAGTCTCCAGATATGAAAATGTCCCTGTCTAGGACAGCATATAAAAGTATGCTTAATTCCTAATGCATGTTCTAAGGTGATATACAGATTTGGAATGGATTAAGTATCAGAAATATCAGAGAAATCACTTCAGTGATAAAAGCAACTGGAAAGATACTTGACATGAATTTCATTCCAGAATCTCTATTCAAAAAAAGATTTTAGTACTCATAGGGGTATGTTATATAAGAAAAATACCCTGAATTAACCTGCTCTTTATAGTTATGTATTTTAATATTAAAAGAAATGTATGTCTTCCAGGTTTAACCTGCATGACTTAAGGTGTGATACACACAGTAACCTTTGTATTAAGCAAATATTCCTGTAATAGTGCTTCATCAGTCTTTGAATGAAATATGATTTTCTAATCAGGTAAGTTACGTACTCACTTTGGCATCAATTAAGAAAACCTGCATGATCTTTGAATTACGATGCCTTACAATGGCAGACACTACCACTGCTTAAATGGTTTGAAAAATCTGTGGTAAGAATTTAAAAACTCTATCACATAGAACACTGTCCTACGCAATTTTAACTTTTTTCTATAAAGAGCTCGTAGCTGCAGAGGTTCTATAATTAAGACAATATTTTTATTAGTCTATAATACAAACATAAGGACAATTCTTATGGATTGCTAACAGATCTTTTAAAATGATGCCTCCTTGTCTTTCTATTCTACTCTTAGGATCACGAGAAAGTAGGTCAAAAAAGAAAAAATGTCATGTACGGATTAGAGCAATTAGGTTTAGAAATGGGGAGCTGGTGCTTTACGCTAACAGCTAGGTGGTCCACCCACCTCCTTTCTGAGTTATACCAGGCAAAAATACGTGAGTAGAAGATGGATGGGAGGTAAGATACATGGCAGCAGGACAGATGACACAGTAGGTATGTGATTGGAGTGTGGACTGAGACTATACAGGGATGCAGAAAGGGGACAGGGAAGGATCTACCTTTTGGATTACGTTGGAATGTGGTTTGCAGGGATCAAAACTGTGGTCATTTCTACCTTAGATACTTGTTAGTTATAAACACACACACACAGACACTATGTCAAATCTCCATACCTCATTATAATGCTTGTTCCATGAATCAAGAATTCCTTTTAGTCCAGAAGGACCCTATATGGAAAAACATGCATCAGAAGGTCATTTTAATTTAAGTAATGTTATGTTTACATACCTGTATTCAAAGGGCAGTGGTCTTGTAAAAGGGTTTAGATTTAATGTTAGATTTTTATTTGATTATACAGTAAATTATTTTCTGTAAGCTTATTATATCATTTTTCAGACACGGAGGAGAAGCAGAGTCAGTTTCTAAATGCCTGAGTTTTGACAACTGGCAGCTTCTTTTGGAGTGAATCAGTCTGTCAGAGAAGTCAGAGGTGACACCCATATCAATTTTAATATGAATCCCTTCTGGTATGAGCAACATCCTTGTTCTGCAGCATTTTAAAACTCTTTCCACTAACTCAAAGCACAAGTTTTGATGTAGAAGCAGCTCCTAGTGTGAGTGAACAGCTAGATTTTTAACTTAGAGTACAGAAAGTGAAATTGAGGAATACCAGAATTCTCCAAAAGATTAATTTCCTACTTTTATTAGCATTGCAAGTTTACACTTATACACACACCCTTCATCAAGAATTTCAACAACAGGGAAGGAACTTCCTATGCAAATGCAGGCTTAGGATGGAGAGATTAGAAAACACGCGCTTGGGAAAAATAAAACATTTTTAGACAAAATCTGCCATAAACCAGGCCCTCAATGAGATTTTTAAGTGTTGTAAACCAGGGCAGAACACAAAAAGTTCAGCCAAGATCTTATGAACTAAAACTCAGTTAAATTTACATATTAGCATAGTAACTCTCTTTAAGTTGAAATTTTCACATCATGCAATATGAACTACAGCCACTCATGATGGCTGTAAGAAGCATTTGACTACATTAATAAGATTACAATATACTCAGTTAAGTCACCTGGTCTGAATGACCTGCATTTAACAGAGACAGGGCACAAAGGCAACTCTCCTCCTCTGGGGCTTTTTATAATTACAGAAAATTTACCCTCTGCAGCTTTTGCGTTAGTGGGGAAAATGTAGCTGGCATACATGCACCCTAAAGATTGCTTTAGGAAACTGAAAATTCTCTTTGCTTTTGAAAAGGGTTGTTCCTCAAAAAAAATGGAGGCTGTTTAGCAGTCAGAGATGCTATATTAGAGATTAGTCAGAGTTTTTATTGCACATTTTAATTTTGTATAAGGTCTTCGTTAATTGTTTTATGTGCACTGTTATTATACATACACCACACTTACAACAGAAATACTCCGGTGTTATGCATCATAACAAGAAAACAGCTTTCTACACTTTCAGAGTAAGAATCTATTGAAAATTTCTCCCATTTTCATGCTTAATGACCTGTAAAACTATTACAGGAAGTCAGGGATCAGAATCACTTCTCACCCAAGATACAAATTGGTCAAGATGAAAACATGATTGCTTTCAACTGGTTAAGACTTTCATAACAAGAGCTGCTGTCAAATTCGGAGCAGTGCAGCAGCAAGACTCTGAAGTATTCCTAGAACAGTTGAAAAACTTTCTATCCATTGATTTCAGCTAGAGATCCAAAGAAAATATGGAAATGCTATGTATTTTGGGTCAATATAAGCTAAATAACTGGACACTATACTTTTCTAAGGAGGACCTCAACTGTTTACTACTTCAGAGTTGCTGCTGTATAAACCACGAGGCAATTCAGGGAAAAAGATGATGACAGGAACAGCAATGATTTTGTCACAGGTGGCATTCCTCGTATCTGATAATTTCACATGTGTATAGAAGATGCTGCTTGTGAACTGAATATGACAGACAATCCTTGGTATTCGATACCTTTGCATCACGGTACCAGTTGTAAGAATCACTATGACATAGTAAATGGATTTGTGGAAGCAGCGTAGTTCAACCTTTAGAAAATAACAGCTCCCATGAGTAAGGGAACTCTGACTATGGCTGGAAGGAGAAACGATACTGTCACAAAGCTGAAACTGAAAAGCATTTCTGTTTTCAGAAAAGCATCATTCCTGGGTGGTATAGATTAGTGTTGTTTTAAGAATAACCAGCTTTACACAAAGAATATTAGGTCTTCACAGATGTTATAATTATCACAGTAGTTTAAATGCATTTGTGGGTGGACAATTAGTAATAAGGAAAACCTCTGCCTAGGAGGCATGCTCTTGTCCCATCACCAGGATATGGTAAGAACACGGAGCCTTACAGCAATGACTCATGAAAACTGAAGGCGGCTTTCTTTCACTAATGCAACTATTCCGCATAATTTCTCTTGGCACCTTTGGAGGGGGTTTAGGAGAGACCATAGACAATTTCAAAACAAGAGACTTGTAACTTGCTCTCCTCCAGGAGGCTCACTCTTCAGGAAGCTAACTTTTTCCCAACACGTACAATTCCTGCGTCTCTGACTGGGAGTAACGAGTCTCGAGGCTGGTTCCCAAGTCCCAGTAGCAGGCTACGCTGATGAGCGATTATCAAAAGCCTGAGAATTACCACAATCTAAAGTACTTGCGTAAAAAGTAAGACACCAGTTTGGTGAGATTGATTATGTGATAAAATGAGACAGCTACTTCGAGGATGCATATCCTGAGGGTGGTATCATTTGGCTCCTATGTAATCATATTTTGAAGAGTTCTGACAAAGCATTTAAATGAGGTAGGTCATGATTTGCATTCTGACGGCAAAGCCTTTTCTGGCAAGATGCATCTGCCCTGTAAGAGTACGCAGAATGGCAAACACACAGCAGAAAATCATTCTGTGAAACCCTGATGGCTCTCCTTACCAGTAAAAGTACTTCCCTTGAGGTACTGAACTTCAAAAAGGTGAGAAACAGAACCATTATTCTGATTAACCAAAAAGACTGCTACTTCCATGGGGGAAAAAATTCAGTCTGATGGAAACCAAATAATAAAAGAGAGACAAGCACAAAGTTTCCATGGAGTCTGAAGGTGTAAAAAACTAGGAAGATGTTAAAGCCAAATTAAAGTCAAATAGGCAAATGTTATTAAAACTGATGGATAAGTCAGTAAGACCTGTCAAAACATTATTGTAGCATACCAGAACAAGACAAGTGTGTTCTGAGCCTTCATCACTAAATTATGAAATACGATCCTATGTATTTTACTGTGATTACATTGTTACGGAAAGCCAGTGGTACTTAAATATTAGGGGACATCAGGAAGATTTGTAAGCCTCATGAAACATTACAGGTGCCTCGCTTCCTTTTTGTTCCCCAACATCAGAAGAGATACAAGGCCATAAATTTTTCCATTAATTTTATTTCAGAAGTGAACTGTCACTTCAAACTTACGTTGAAAAATAAGATAAATCTAGTCATGATGTTTTGACTGAGATGCTCACTCAATTCTGATTTCTAAAGTTAATGGCAGAATTTTTACTTTGATATCCATATTAAAGATGGCAATCCAGAACTGGGACTGAACAGTGATGACACTGCCTACTTACTAGATGTTTCAGTTTCAACACTGTAATCCTGCAGTGTCGAATCCTTGAATCCAGAATCCTTGCAGGAATCTGTAATCCTGCAAGCAGTCAAAAATAAGAATTTATCCTTCCTTCTCATTTGCCACCATGTTGTTTCTTTTACTGGTTTTTCACAAATGAAACTGCTGCAACCACACAACCCAGGAAGGACTGAATGCTGTGTCTGCCACCAATCCCGACCTCTTAGATATTATTTGTACATCAAATAAATAATTTTTGACAAAATGGAAAGGCTTTGTACTTGTCACAGTTTTGAAAAACAGATATAACCTCAAAAAAACCCAAACTGTCTTGTGACTAATGCAGTCAAAGGGAACTTATGGCAATTGGGTTGCATTCTTGACTATGCCACAGCCTTTGTGGTACCAGAGGTAAACCATCTCTCTTAGTCTTTTAATTTTCAAAAACTGACATAAATTTAGTAATTTTATCTTTCCATCATTCTTTCTAAAATATAACTAATAAAATGAGTGTACAACAACAGAAAACACTTTTATTCGAGTGTCTTCCTAAACTCTAGTCTCTTTCTTCCCTTCCACACTGTTTCTCTCTACTAATATAGCTGCATAATCCACTCTGAAGCCTCTATAGACAAAAAAAGAACTAGTAGTATTGGTTTGCCAGTGGAGAAGCAATGAAATTAACAGGAGTTGAAGAATTACTGTACAGGCAATTTCTAGCTTTTGAATGAGAATTTTGCACATCTGCCACTTTAGATGTTTTTCAGACTTGCTGCTTTCGAAATACCAGTGAAAAGCTCACTTGAGCAGGGTTTCCTTTTTCTTTTTTAATATCAAGTTGTGTAATTGAGGGAACTGAAGCACACAGAGAGTACAGTTGTATGAATAAGAAAAGAACTGAAAATGTGTCCTGATTGTTTTCCAAAATTACAAACAGGTTTCAGATGTTATTTCTACAGACAAGGCAGGAATAGAAATACAGGTGCTTAAAAGGAAATAGCTCCAAACTGTGAAATTACTGGAGTTTATAATACATTTTTCTCCCTTAACTTTTATAGTTTGTCTGCATTTCTGTACAAATGAAACTGCTGAAAAAGTCTATGCAGTCTCACAGTCCATGCAGTAAAACCTGTAACAAGTAAATTGCACTGGTTGCATCGCAAGAACAGGCCATTTCAGAGAATGCAGCAGTGCAGGTGACTCAGTGTAATCACTTTATCCATCTATTTCAGATCTGTGCCTGCCCATTAAAATAAAATACTGTTTTTCTGATTACTACAACGTAAAAAATCATGAAACTCATCAGTGCAGATGTGCAATATTGTACAACTATTCCAAAGAGCAAATGGAAAGAATGATGAAGGTATGATATCTGCCGGAATAGAACACATTAAATAAATTACATTTTGATATGGATTTAAAAAACTTAAATGCATAGAAACAATCAATATGACCAACCTTTGTCAGCCATTCCCATCCTACCACGTAAGCATTTCCAATATTCTTCTACAAAGCAGCTGAAAAGTCCAGGAATACCAGAAATGATACTGACAATTTTCACTTATCATTGCTTTAATTTTCTGTTTATTGTAATTAACTGATAACATTCATTCACTTTCAAAGTATTGGTAGAGGAATGACAGTATTTCCTGAGGCAGAGGAAATGAGATTTCCAAGGCAAACTGCTGGCTACTTAAGATAACCAGTTTGGTGGCACTGACATACATACTGAATAACAAGAGACCAAAAGGGTATGGAATTAAATGAAGAAATTCAAGTAGTCTGTGAACTTCTCCACTGCCTCACATGCAACACAAACAAAAATGAAATCCTATTTTAATTTAAGACTTTAAGGAGTAACACAAAGCTAATCTTCCAAGCAAGAACAGTTGTGAAGATAAAAGATACGAAGTTCCGCCCCTTGCAAAGGTAAATGAGGAACTAAACGATGAGCTTCAAGGGCTATAGCAATTGTGAAATAAAGCTAATCTGGTTGCAAACAATAACTTTGGACATGTTGGTAGAAAACAGCAGGCTTAAGAGGATGAATAATTGTGATTGCAGTTCACTAATCTGTGATTTAGGAGACCCAAAGTTTATGTCCTTGCTCTGCCACAGACAGCTTCTTGGACAAGATGGCACTTGGCCAAATCAGGTAGTCCTCATGTTTCCTACCTGACAGCACTTCCCTTCTGCCAAACAGCAACACTGGGCAGAAGTCATACATGGACTCACCCTAAAGAACACTGTTATACTGGTGGAAGCCTGTAGCACAACTCTATTTTGACACTCTTTTTTATTTTAAAAACAACCTGGAGTCCCACTAAAAGGGGAACTATTGAGAAATGGAACTCCTCCAGTCATAACAGTTCCAGTAGAGACAGAGAAAATCAGGACAGAAAAGATAAAGTTAACCTTTAATGAAGAAACCAATAAAACTCCTTTTTCTGTCCTGTAGCCTACCTATGTAAATAGAAATACCTGGCTGCTGATTCATGTAGAAGTAAAAATAAAAATAAAAAAACCCCCGAACAACCCAAAAACCTCCCACGAATTACCATAATATATAAAACAGTGCCAGACATCATGCGGCTATTTTCTAAACAGGACAAATAGAAAAATAAATTATCTCCTCTTAACAGAACTCTACACAAAAACAACCCAAGATGAGAAAAGCATTTTGCCTAAGTGAACACTGCAGAACTGGGCCTGTACCTCCTCAGGCCAACAGCATGTAAATACTAAGTTCAGACACCTTGCATACATTTGCTTTTAAGTACTGAAAAAAAATGGTGCAGGGACTAGAAAGCCAATGCATTATACCTATGCAAAATAAGCTATGGTCTGCTGGTAACCCCTTCTGCACTGCTAAGTCCTGTAGGTATTTTTGTTAGCAGCTACGGCAGAAGAAAGCTTTCAGTTCTGCGGTCAGATCAAACCGCTGTACTTCCAACCTCACAGCATCCTACTATGATAGTATTTCTTTCTGTTTCATAAAATCAGCATTTAATTTCAGTGAAGAGCCTTGCAGAGCAGGATAACAGCATGTAAAAGAGGCATTATCTCTTTCAAAAGACTTTAGAAGAAAACGCAAGCAAGAAAATGTATGAAATACACTTGAAGGGTACAGAGATTTTGATTTCACAATCATAATTTTCAGAATGCTTCTGAGAGTGAAATGAATAGTGTATTTAACAGAAGCTTTAAACTACTCTCTAGACTCTTTAAAAGGGGGGAAGGGATCAAAAAGCACTAGAGGGAGCTGCTGTTCTACTTAACCCGTTTGGATTCCTTGTTTTCAGCATAAATTGCTACCTGCTGGAGTGAGACACGTGTGAGCACACATCTCAGCTCTCCAGTACTGAAATAACAGAACAGTACTCAAAAACAACATCAGACAGCAAGGATGCAAACCATGAATTCTGAGCCAGAAGGGAATAACAGAACACTTTAAAAGTCTATAATATTTAATAAACCTTAAAAAATACTCAAAGGAGGATCATCATCTGGGTAGACTTAGAGAAATGTTTTTTATAACCCATCAACAAAAATCCTCATTGACTTCTTGCCTTTTGTGGGCATAGGATGTGCTCCAAAAGGAAAAATGACATTTTAAAAGAAAGGGAAAAATTACACAAAAGAAAGGATAAGGGAAAAACGACACAAAAGAAAGGATACCTGGAAGAAGTTGCATAGAGTCCCACTTTAACTGAGTAGTTTCATCACCGATCGCCAATCAATCTACGTTTCTGATACTGATACAGGTTTTTAACCAAAGATGTGCAGATGATGTTAAAGGACTAGAAACTCACTACACATCAATTTTACTGAAAAAAAAATCCCCAGAAATTAGGTTAGGAAGGAAAAAAAAATGAGGTGTTGAGAGAGGGTTAGAAAAGTCAGATTAGAGGCATACATGAATATCAAGAAAATCTTAAATGCTGCCATGCAACATGTAGGTAAAAATTATTATTTTAATTAATCAAAATTCACACCACTTAGTAGTGTCCAATTTAAAGTCCTTTTGACTGTTCAGAATGTGGTCTCGTAATCTCTCCCTGCACACACTTTTTTTAGGACTGTCCTTTATACCAAATCCCCTGAGTACTGTATCCTGTTCACCAACTTTGTCCTCCAGGAGGCAGAACTCTCCTTCTCACAGGTTTTTTTGTCATTACTGAACACATGGCTGTTCTCCTAGTATCTAAATAAATACTTAACATCATGGCATAAACTGATACATAAATTAGGTACAGTTATTAATTTCAAATGTGCAGTGTCTACTGTAGCTACCCTAACAATTAATGACTGAATCTGCTTTTTCTCAAACACAAATACTGTATTCTTCTGAAACATCAAACAACCACCAAACTTACTTTTTCCAGAGAGTCTAATTTTTACATGTTCCGTCAATCTGTTAAGCCTTTTGTACCCTGTATATGCCAAACTTAGGTAGCAACCACCCCGCAGGTGTGATAGTTCTGTTGCACTTTGGAGAAGCCAAAGTAAAGGCCAATAATATATCCATGTGCCACTACTTACTATTAGAAGAGCAGTTACCCCAATATAGCAAAAATGTAATATGGTTTGAGACTTGTAAAAGAGAGGAGGAACGATCGATCATGTTAAAGTCTTTTCAGTATGTACAAGCTGTAGCACTTTAAATATGGGGATACTGCCAACACACATTAACAGACATTACTGCTTTTAGAGTATGCTTCTTCTATGCGTTATATTCTCAATCTTGGAAGAGGAACAAAAGATGCTGGTGTAGCTCTATCCAAAATAAGGACTGCATCAAGATAGTTATACCAGAAACAAATACCTTTAACCAATATTTAGGCCATGATTGCTTGAGGAATGCTTTTCTGATATGCGGTGCTAGGCTACAGTACCCATACAGAGCTCCTCGTAGGGATGCTGCCATGCTGACAAAGTTGAGCTTCCCATTTGCTGTAAGAAAATCTGAAATAGGTCTCAGTAATAAAAGTGCAATTTAGCTTCCACTCAAGATTTCTGGTATGTCTGTCAAGGATCATACATCTTCAAAAGCCTGACCTGCCAGCAAATCTACGGTGGCAGAAATCTGTAACAGAGAAACGGCTTTTCACTGGTTCACAAAAAGCTAAGTAGATTAGGTCTAACATTGACATCTGCTATGGTGTTTCTTTTTTTTTTTTCTTTTTTTCTTTTAAAGGTCATTTTTGGCATTTGTATTAAGAAAGATCCTGCATCACTCCTCTCCTCTGTTTTGACTCCCACAGTCTGCAGTACCGTTTCAGCATTAGGAAGCCCAAACTGTACAAAAGACTCAAATAAGCAAGGCTTCAATATGACTATATGCAGAGGAGAAGAGGGAGAGGGAGGAATTTTTGACTATTTAGTTTTATGCAGGATAAATGAACTCCATCATCAACTCCTCTTTCTGAACACATTTTGCAAGGAAAAGGGGGGGAAATTATAAAATTTATGCAATTTTGTTTTTAGATGAGTTTAAATTACATCCGTTTCATTTTATTCATTGTATTTCATGCAGCAGTCCATTATTCTCTTATCTATAAATAAGACTAGTTTTCCCTTGCAGTGAGGTTGAAGTAGATGAATCAAATGGTCTGACGCATAAACTATTGGCCTTTACCTACTTCAGGTAAGCAGAAAAAGGAATTATGAAATCCTTGTTTGATACTCAGAATGTAAAGCAGCAGCAGTTTACTTAATCCACAAACAAATAGCTGTTTTGTATTTGTGCATGAGATCATTTTTACAATACAATATATAGGGAATGTTATAATTATGATCAAGTCTTCCTCTACCAAAGGAAGGCTGTGTTCATTCTAGGCTAAAACAGATCCATGCCCGACTTCAAATTTGACATCATGTATCTCTTAAAAAAAAAAAAATAAATCCCAAACCTCTTAGATCTGAGCTAAACCCTTTAGTGCTTCATATTACAAATCCTTCCACAGAGTCATGTATTTCTTAATCTTTTTAATTCTTCAGTAAACTCATTTGAACTACAGCTGAGTGCTCATTCCAGTGCTGGGTATAATCCTCCTCACCGTTCAGACAGTTGGCACATGCTTCACACAGTCCTTCATCTTTCAAATTACCCCTCTGAGACAGAAATTATCCCATCTTCTACAGAGCATCACGCATTTTGCAAAGTGAATGAATGCACAGTATTCACATTTAGCATACATGGCCAGTCTTTCTTTGAAATGCCAGACAATTTCTGCTTCCTTCGCTGAAGTTTGCATCTTGTTCTTTCCCTCCTGTGTAGTCTCTTGAATTTGTGGACCCAGTCCTTTTATCTTTGCTGTATCAAAAGGCTGGGAATAGTAGCTGTTTGATGCAGCAGAGTAAACACAACTAAATTGTTTTAAACCATAATTATAATCAGGTAACCTGGTATAAAAATGCTAACAAGGTTCACTGTTTCAGGATAGAGAGAAAATTTCCCATTCCCCTTGTTAGTTACTCACAGGAGGTCCTGGTGGCCCTGGCTTTCCTGGCAGGCCTGGTTTGCCTCGTCTTCCCTGGAAACAGAAAAAGAATGACAGACACTTATAAATGTTACAGCTAGTGACTGATTTGGAATAAGAATTTTGTTTAAAAGAAAGATTTATTGCCTTGCTTATTATCCAAAAGTTCAAAAACTATCCAAAAGAATACTCTATATCAGTCATGACAATGTTATCTAATTCTAGTAATTTAAGGATTGTTTTAATAATTATGACAAACCGTATATTTGCATCACTGTAACATTTACTGTCACATTTTAAAGCTATGTCTCAAATGTGAGTGCACATTGATAGGGCTATAAACACGGCATCTTGATGAGGTGTGAAGAAATTGTATTTTATCTGAACACACCAGAGCTTGGGATGTTAAGCTGTGCTGCAGCAGTCACCCTGACTTGCATAGTAGGTATGTATGTGCAATATAACCCAATTAACAAAACCCCATACCCTTCTTCTCCAGGATGTGAGAACAAGCAGAAAAGCCAGAGATTTATTTGCAAAACCAATTCACCTTCCTCATGCAATTACTACCATCTGGGTATATAGTGCACATGCAACATCATTTGCATTAAAACTTAAGGTCCATAAAAGTTTACTTAAGGTAATGCGAGACTTTCCACTTGTAGTCTAAAAAACACGCACATGTAATTATTACATTTTTTTAGCAGAGAACTCAAATGAACAACTGCTGTTTTCACACATGTTTTTTTTTTAGGGAGATCAACATAAAAATGGAAGTAATTTACAGTTATTTACATCTTTATTGCCAAGCTGATATCTGATGCACATTTTTTAGAAACAACAGCTGAGAACAACTAATATCTAGGTGTGACGGTAAAAAGAAAGTATTATATCCATAAAGACTAAACTTTTCCCTTGCATATGGCAAATGTAAACTAATGAAAAGCATTAGGGGATGTCCTGGTAAAAACTTGGCTTAAGAAATTAAATGAAAATGCTTGCTGACAGCTCACAATTAACACATACATGTATTTCTGTAAGCCATAGTCCCTACTTCTAAGCCTGCTTCTGTGTTTTATTAAATGACTATCTCATGCAAACTGCAGAAGTAATGTACGGAACAGCGAGTGAAATCTCAGCTTTGCTCTTTACAGGTGAGAACCCTGATATGTAGGAAACCACTCTCACGCTCTGCCTCTCATTAATCTTGATCTATGCTGAGGGGAAACAAGATGATGACAGTAAGGGTGGAAAATCCCTCTTCCTCACACCCTGCAGCTCACCAGGGTAAGCTCTGGGCCTAGATGCCAGGGACTCTCCTGAGAAGCAGGAGGTAGGGATTTGGAACCCTTCAAGTTGAAGACAGAACTGAACAAGGGCTGTGGGGATGTGTTTCATCCACTGGGCTGTGCCACATACCATGTACACTGCCACCATGGTTTTATGAAGGTCCTCAGTCAGTCAGTGTGTTTTAAGGGCAGTGTGAAAAAAAAAAAAAAAAACCAAACACCTCAGCATATTTGGAGTGCCACATTCCTGGGTCTTAACTAGCTGAGACATATGTTATGTGCTGAGCTGTTTAATCCCACCAGTACTCGCGCATGCAGGGCTGTAAGTGGGGCAGCTCGGGGTAAATTTTCAGAACCAAAATACGGTACTAGGTGCCTGTATCTGGCTCAAGGCTATATGGTCCCTTGCCACCCACCCCCAGCATGTCCTCTGCTGTGGTAGTAACACTCTCCACACAGCCCTATGATGAGCCAGAGCTGGGAACTCATCCGGACTAAGGATGGCCCACAAAAAAGTAGAGTTGTTTTTGACTTTGATCAGTTCAGTGATGCAGTTCACTGGGCAACCAAGTAGCTTGCCCGGCCTGACAGAGGGCACCGTACCGGGAAAGGCACACATGCACAAGAAAAGGGGGCTGTTGTTAGCTAGATCTAGACTTTTGGACTGATCTCTACTTCAGAAATACAGATGGAAACTAGTATTTCCTGACTTTTTTGAAAAACAGCAAACTTTCCTTAGAAAGTATGAAAAAGTAATAAAGATAAATTGCTTCATACTTTTTAAATAGTCCCTCTGAGTTATAATGATCTATACTGTTGACTTCTTGAAGCACCTTCCTTTTCCTGTTTGGACTTATTTAAAGTATCCTGAGGATGACACTTAAAGTCTCAACAGTCTAAACAAAGTATCAAGGAAGTGTCAGGGGGAAGAAGGCAGGGCTTTGACTGGCAGACACAGCTGTGAACGAGGTGTTAATTACACAGGAAAACACGGAATATGTTGGGAAGGTAATTTTATCTCTATTTACAAGATGAGCTAAAACGTGATCTATGACATATTGCAAAGTCAAAACTTGACAAACTTTCTGAAGTCAGTTATAAAAAAAAAATAAAAATTGGGGGTAGTTATTTTTTACTGTCATTTACTAATTACCAGAACACTTACCTTGAGAAACACATAAGAAACACTTGCCCTATCTTTTCTCCCATCATTACGTTATTAGTCATTATACTATGTGCCACGTGTACAAAAAACCTCTACAACAATCACACGGATTGGTATGAAGCATCAGCTTTTTCTAGAAGAACAAAAGTCCTTTTTTTTCCTACATGCACCCTTCTAAACTGTCTGAGATTTTAATTTTAACACAGAAATACATAAAAGGCCACTACCTTTCAGCAATGCCTTTCAGATACAGAGATTTAAATGCTAGGGATGCACACAGCTCCACCTACTTGCCGGCACTCCTGCTTCTCTGTGACTTCCCAGCATCAGTATGGAAAAAATTAAAATATATAGTATAGTAAAAGTGTAAGTAGAGAAAAGTAGTTTATGTTTTTGTTTAGGATAATTAAAACAATTAAAAGAATGTTTTTGATAAGCCCATTATGGCCTTGCCTTGAGCAGACCATGAGCCAGACTGTGACTAGATATTTACAGTTTGATTCTGAGTCTTCCTTCTAGCAAGAAAGAAGTGAAAAACATCTCGGTGCCCTCTCTGGCTCGTCAAGTGGGCTTAGCAGAGAGCCCCAGTTCCCACCTGCTGGTCAGAAGCAGGTCTCAGCAGCCCCGTGAGAGCTGTACTCGCTGCTGTGGTGCTGTGCGTGGTGCAGGCAGCCAGCACAGGAGGCCCCTTTACCTTTATGTAGTTGAGTTCACTGAGCAAATATTGACGTTATAAAACCACTCAAAATATAAATAAATGTTCTAGGCATCACATACTTCTTTTAACTAAATAAAAAATGCAATACCACCTACGCTAACTTAAAAAAGGTAAGTGGTGTCAACAAGTTGTCTAATGCTACTTAGAATAATATCTACAGAAAAGAAAACCAAAATAGTTGCTGGTTATTTGCTTTGTGCTGAATACTTTTTTGTTGGCAATCAATGTGATAAGAAGTTGTCTAAATGTTACTGATATTGCATCCTGTTCCTTTGACTCATGAAATGTCTGCCCTCAACTAATTTGGACAGTCGGCTACTTCCCTCTTTTCCATAGGACAAGCTTCAGCTACAATACAGACACAAATCATTCCAATAAGAACTGCTTGGTTAGGGGCAAAAAAGATAAAATATTAAAAATAAAATAAATGAGAAATTATATGCTTCAGCAAACCCCAGCTGAGTGCCTAGCTGAAGTATGCGGTCAACTGCACTCTTTATTCCTCTCTTCCTTCGCCCTTTCTGTTAATCGAAATGACTCGATGAGCTTTGCCTTACGTTAGATGGAAAGCCGTCCAGAAGAGAGGCTCTGTGCATCCTTCCATAAGCTTGTGCTCTGATTCTGACTGCTGCCCCTGGGCACGGCTGCAGGTCCAACACACAATGCAAGAATTCAAAGTCTATATTGTAACCCCCTGCCGTATCATGTTGCATCCATCTATTCGCATATCTCTAACTATAGAAGAGTAAGCTCGCTAATCTTAGTGTCTAAAAATAAGCTGCAGATTATTTTAGGATAAAATCGAGCAGAGTTATGTAGGAACACTGACATGATTTATGGAATTAATAATTTAAAGAACCCACACTTAAGTATGAAGGGAAAAGTTCTTCGAATAAGCCTGTGTGAATTTTCAAGGGAAACTGATAATTAGCAGTTCCTGAAACACATCATCACATTTCAAAACAGGAACTAGTTCTAGAGAAAGTAGGAAGCTGGGCTTTAAAGTCTTAAATACTGTAGTTATTATGCAAGATTAATGAGACTTACATAACTTGCTTGACAAGCTAAACTAAGATTCTCTTGAATAATCCTCAAAACCAGACTGACAAAGGTACAGATACACCTGAAGCAGGAGGCAGGTGGAAAGTAAAGACCCCCGTCTCAGAGAGCCCAACCCATGGACACCCCGCCAGCCCCTTGGGCACCTAAATGCAGCCACGCAAGCGGAGCTCTGGGCAGTTAAAAGGCTGTTTCTCCAGATGCCCGAAGTTACCACCAAGGAGCCAGACAAGTCCCAGTTCCTATGCTAATTCAGAGTACAGAAAAGAGGCTTTCCTTTGTCTCAAGTCCTCTAAGCTGATATGCCTAGTGCATACGGACTACCCGTTTTTCCCTCTCTGCAGTCCGCAGTCACAACCTGGTGCTCCTGGCAGCTCAGCCGGAGCGTGCAGAGCTCCAACCCAGGGGAAACCCAGCCTAGCCCAAAGCTGGTGACAGTCCTCTGCTCCATGGTTTACCAGAAAAAGTTTGCCAGAGTGCCATTTTAGGGGAATGAAGGCAGACATCACATGGCAGTACCAGTAAGAAAGCCAGTTCAAGAGCTGCTTGGAAACAGAAGATTAGAATTCATCACAAAAATCAGAGCACTCACCCATCCAACCCAGTTACACAACAGTGTGCTTCTAGCGATTGATTGTGGGACAGGAGAAGGTTCTCCAGGATCCCAATCAACTATTTGACAGTTCATAAAGTGAAAATTACAAACCTACAACAAATGCACAGCCTGAATACAGAGTCATTATTTTCCATCATCCATTTAGCCAAAAAATTGGTAATATTTAAAGAAGGCTTTGACATTTAACCACCTGACTGCACAACTGCT